GTTCCCTTTGCGGATGAGGACTGATAGGTCCAATGTAGAGTGATCACTTTGTGAAAAGTGTTCACCTGCAGGTGATGTGGTGTTTTTGTCTTTTATCATTTTCCTGGGTGAGTTCATTCGAGAGTGTGGTGCTTGTCTGGTTTCACTTACATAGGTATTATTGGGACATTTAGTGCAGTGGATGAGATACACTAGATATTGTGATAGGCATGTGTAGACCTGTGGGTATTGAAAAGTGTGTGTGTGTGTGTGTGTGCGGGGGGGGGGGTAATTTATTGTAGAGATGGAGATACGTCTGCAGGTTTTGCATCTATTCTGGCAAGGTCTTACGCCATTTTGAGTTGATGAGCCAGTGGGGAGCTGTTTCTGATGATGAGCCGAGAGAGGTAGAGGGTTATTTAAAGGCCAGAAGAGTAGGTTCAGGAAAGATGTCTTTCAGAATGGGGTTCCCATTAAGTATGGGTTGTAGTTGTTTGATGGTCCCACATATGGGTTCCAGGGTGGAGTCGTAGGTGACAACTAGGGGTATGCAATCAGAGATGGTTTTATTTATTTATTGAAGCAGGTTCTCTTGAAGTATTTGGGTGGCCTGTTCCATGGTGTGATCTACTTCTCTGGTGGGGGGTCTGTGTTCGGGGAAGGTGATTTTGAGCTAGACAGTAAAAATCATGGACTGAATGGAGACACCCCCCAGCTGCGTTCCCTTCCTCCCTCCTGCTCCCCCTCCCCATGACTACAGGGGTGTTAACAGGTCACTTCCCCTTGATTGGTCCCTTGAGATATGTGTTAACTACTTATGCTAAACAATCCGTTCCACTTTGTATTTAGTACTTCTTGAGGAATTCTGTGCCAAAAAATTATGGGCACAGTATGTTAAAATTCTGCATGTGTTATTTTTACAAATAACACAATATAATCACACTAGTTTCAATTATTTTGGTAATTTATTTCAAAATACCTGTCAGCATGTATGTCTGTAACAATACAGACAACAAAAAAAGATTCAGGACAAATACATTCCTTAGTAGGCATGTTAATATAGATCTTTGAGTAATAATTAATTTAAACTACAATACAGAAACATATTTCCCACACCCCTCAGAAGCAGTGCAAAGCTGGGGGAGTCAGAGTAATTGAGGAGCTGAGGGAGAGGGAATTAATTGCTGGGAAGGAGCCTGGGTGTGAATTTGGTGAGTTGTTGAGTGTGGGTGGGAGAAGTATGGAACAGGTTTTTTGGGGGTGAGGAAGGATTGTTAGGGGGTCTCCCCCATGTCAAGCCTCACTGACCCCAAGCCTCTCACATTCACTGAGGCACATCTGCCCTTATCAGCCACCAACCCTCCCCCCGTCCCCATGTGTCTCTGCACCCCCACTCCCATTCAGCCCCTGCCCCCCTCTCTTCCCCCTGCCCCAGTAGCCCTTCTGAACCCAAATGTATGACTCCCCAGCCTGTGCCCTATGCTCCAATTCCTGTGCCTCCTCACCTGGATCCATGGCCAGGGCACTGTGAGGAACACAGCCTCTTCTCTTTCCTATCTCCGCTGGGGTTGCTCCCACCTGGGAGTGGCTGCTCTGTTCTGGTGCGACAGCAGCCCCTGGTGGACAAAATGCACAACTGCAGCACTTGTCCAGCAGAATGTATTTTCTGTGGAGAAAACAAATTCTGCAGGGGCCCTGAATTCTGGCACGCAGAGGGGCGCAGAATTCCCCAAGGAGTAATTTAGCTGTGATGCTCTGAGTACATTTCCCAGACCTGCAGAGGAGCTCTGTGCAAGCTCAAAAGCTTGACTCTCTCACTAACAGAAGTTGGTCCAGTAAAAGATATGAGTTCACTCACTTTGTCTCCCTAATATCCTGGGACCAACACGGCTCCAACACTACATATCACCTTATATGGAATTTCTGTCTGAGGAATGGAATGACTTGCGGTGCTCCCTCCTACCTCCCACACACATAAAAAGTGATTCCCATGGATCATCTGAGCTGGCATGCTGTTTTATGCTCCCCTTCCCCCAAGCACCCAAAATTAAATTTGTAATCTTATATTTCTGCACAGGTGGTTGATTGTTGTGCAGCAGCCCAAATGAACTGTATTGTCAAGAAATTGTTGCCTTTGCGGAGGCCCTAATGGAAATCTATTGCATGTGGTAATAGATGTTACAAATAATGGAAAAGAGACATTTCGAAGACCGGAAGTGATCTATTTGATCTAATTACAGGGTGGTATTTGGCTTTTAGTTGGTACCTAAGTTTCTAAAAGTCTGGTAAAGGTGTTCCCTCAGAAAACAATGAGCCCAATTCCTGGAATGTTTGTATTTTGAAGGAGTACTTGTCTCTAAGGTGCCACAAGTACTCCTTTTCTTTTTGCGGATACAGACTAACATGGCTGCTTCTCTGAAACTTGTATTTTGAAGGATACTTTACTCTTAGGGCTTGGTTGCAGAAGACCCCAGTGGGCCTTTGGAAATCCTTTAATCTATTCTCTGAATACCAAAGTCATTCAGTGACTAAAGTATAGTTTGGCATAGTTGTAGACCACTAGTTGGGTATGATATGATGTAGTATTTCGAATAGTACTTTGGGTTCTGTTTTTATTATCTGTAATAGTGTGGCTCCAGAACACATTTTTAATCAAAGCTTGCAAAAGCAGAATACTTAGTTATCTCCAGATCTTTTTATAAGTAGTAATATTGGAAAGGTGTATAAATTGGGAAACAGTTTAATTGAATTTTTTTTCTTTTATGTACTTTATGCATTTTAGATTCTCTGTTGCTACCCTTTATTTTTTCATTCAAAGTATGTCTTTGAAGCAAGCCACGTGTTAGAAAACTGCAACTCCAACAACCTTGGAAAGAACAATAACTGCACTCCTAGAATTCTGACTTTAACAAACAAAGGCTGTCTTGGAAAATGCAGATAGTTTGCATAACATAATGATAGAAATATAGGGCTGGAAAAGGAGCCCCATGCTGAGGAAGGATGAAGTATATACATATTATGCAATTTACAAGTCATATAGTAAAGTTGCTAAGGTTGATGGAAGCAACTGCCTGTTGACCAAGCTGCCTCTACACCGCTGGTGAGGTTGAACTAACTACAGTCCTCAGGATGCAAAATTTTTCATAGGTCTGAGTGATGTACTGAGGTTTATCTAATTTTTAAGTATAGACCAGGCCTGTCAAGGTTCCTCCCGCACTCTGAACTCTAGGGTACAGATGTGGGGACCTGCATGAAAACCTCCTAAGCTTACTTTTACCAGCTTAGGTTAAAACTTCCCCAAGGTACAAATTAATTTTATCCTTTGTCCTTAGAATATCCACTGCCACCACCAAACTCTAACTGGGTTTACTGGGAAACATAGTTTGGACACATCTTTCCCCCCAAAATCCTCCCAACCCTTGCACCCCACTTCCTGGGAAAGGTTTGGTAAAAATCCTCACCAATTTGCATAGGTGACCACAGACCCAAACCATTGGATCTGAGACCAATGAAAAAGCATTCAGTTTTCTTACAAGAAGACTTTTAATAGAAAGAGAACCAAATAGAAGTAAAGGAATCACCCCTGTAAAATCAGGATGGTAGATACCTTACAGGGTAATTAGATTTAAAACATAGAGAATCCCTCTAGGCAAAACCTTAAGTTACAAAAAAGACACACAGACAGGAATAGTCATTCTATTCAGCACAATTCTTTTCTCAGCCATTTAAAGAAATCATAATCTATCACATACCTAGCTAGATTACTTACTAAAAGTTCTAAGACTCCATTCCTGGTCTATCCCTGGCAAAAGCAGCATACCAACAGACACAGACCCTTTGTTTCTCTCCCTCCTCCCAGCTTTTGAAAGTATCTTGTCTCCTCATTGGTCATTTTGGTCAGGTGCCAGCGAGGTTACCTTTAGCTTCTTAACCCTTTACAGGTGAGAGGAGCTTTCCCTGGCCAGGAGGGATTTCAAAGGGGTTTACCCTTCCCTTTATATTTATGACAAGGCCTAAGGATGTCTACACTTAAAATGCTACAGCAGCACAGTTGCTCCACTGTAATGCTTCAGTGTAGACACTACCTATGCTAACACAAGGGATTCTCCCATTACTGTAAGTAATCTGCCTCCCCTAGGGGTGGAAGCTAGCTATGTCATGAAGAATTCTTCCATTAACCTAGTGCTACACCAGGGGTTATGTATGTTGGTTTAACTGTTCTGCGCAAGGGTATGGATTTTTTACACTCCTCCAGTAGCTAATAGTTAAGAAGTTTTCTTGTGTAGACCAGGCCTAAGAGTGTTTTGCTCCGTCTTAAAGTGGATTAAGCTGCCCATGACCAAAGCACTCTTCCAGAACACATGTCCACCTGCAGAATTATCAAGCAGAGCTATTATGCTTTACATCCGTTCCCCCTCTTAACCTGAATTAACTTTCAACCCTGAATCTGCTTTAAACTCACCCTTGCAGTTAATCTCTTGGGGGGTTTTCCCCCTGCATGGCATTATGCTGCCCCAGCCTGTGAAGCTACATCTCAATCTGCTGTTTGGGCTGGGGGGAGGCCCAGGTAGGTTACCCCACAGGAGGGGCCCAACGTTTAAAAAAAAGGGGGGGGGGAGTTTAAAGCAAGTATTCGTATTCCTTAGGAGACCACAACACGCCCCCTCTCTCCAACACGCTGCGGGAGTGAAAAGCAGTGTCCCCCCCTGGGCAGAAGGGGCTGGCGGCACGTTGGGGCAGCGGCCCGGCTAGGGGCGGTGCGCTGATGCCGCCACGGGCCCGCTGACCTCTCTGCGTTGGGCCCCGCGCGGAAGCGGCCGCGCATGGAGCCCGCGTCGCGTCGCGTGACCACGGCCCGAGTCGGGCGCGCGGCTCAGGCCCTGGCCTGACTTGGCCGCAGCTGGGCGCAGCCTGTCCCGCCGGTCCCGCCCTCGGCACACGCGCGACTACTCGGGGCCTCTCCGTGCGCTCCCCCCCCCGTTAGCCCCTATGAGCCCCACGTGGTCGCTCTCTGTCAGCCGGGATCCTCCTGGGGCAGGCCGCGCGCAGTGCACCTAAGCGGAACCGGGTCACCGCCAGTCAGGGCGCGCGCCTGGTGCGCGGGCTCCGCCCTAGAGCAGCGAGAGCTAGGTAGGGCTCTGTTGCAGAGTCACCAGGCAGCGCCAGGGACAGCTATGGCGGGGTCTTGAAAGGCCGGCGGGGGCACCGCCTCCTCCCCCTCAACCAGTCGCCCGTAGGACTGACGGTTGGTGGCGCGTGCGGCGGAGGCTGCTAACATGGTGGGTAGCGTCGCTCGCCCGCTCCTGCCGCGTGGCGCCGACTTCTCCGGGCGGTCTCCGTCTCCTTCCCCGCGCTGCTGGCCCGCCCTGCCCCACCCTTTTACTGCCGGCTCCCGCTAGGTCGCGTCTCATCGTCCGGCGGGGGGCACCGCCCTGCGCCTGGCGAGCGCGGATCGATCCAGGCGCTGCTGGGCCCGTCGCCCCGCGCTGACGGCTGTAGAGCCCGGCGCCCGCTGCCAGCCTAGCGGGGCCCAAGCGCCCGGATAGCGGGGTGGCGGCCGTTGGGGTAACGTGGCTAAGGGGGAGGGGTGCGATGGGGCCTGAGCCGGAGATGGAGCCGGGGGTGCGGGGAATTGTCCTCAGGCAGCGGGGCGGGCGGGGCCCCGGCCTGTGAGGGCCTCGGGATGTGTAACGAGGAGGGGCCGGGCGATCCCAGGCTGACGCTGCGGAGCTGGCAGGGATTTGGGGGTAGGCTGGGAGGTGGAATCTGAACTCTGTGAGCTGAGCAATCTTGACCTGAAATCGGGGCCGCGATGAGCACGAGGCCCCGTCCCCGCCACGTGAAGCGTAGGCGGGCAAGGATTCGCTGCAGAGCGTCACCTTGAGTGTAATGGGTGGGGGGCGGGGGGTGTTAAAATTTCTAGTTTGGTTAATAAAAAGAAAAGGAGTACTAGTAGCATCTTAGAGACTAACTAATTTATTTGAGCATAAGCTTTCATGAGCTACAGCTCACTTCATCCAATTTATTTGAGTGTAAGCTATAGCTGACGAAAGCTTATGCTCAAATAAACTGGTTAGTCTCTAAGGTGCCACTAGTACTCCTTTTCTTTTTGCGAATACAGACTAACACGGCTTCTACTCTGAAACCTAGTTTGGTTAATATGTATCTGGGTTAGTGAAAATGTAAACTTATCGAAGTTTTTATTTATAGATTTTGCTCTGTAAAATAAGTTGGAAATTTTAACCTGGAAAGAATAAAGCAGACTTAGACGTCTGTTTAAAAGAAATGCAGTGCTGACAAATATTCAGCTTTGACTGGTACACATAAAATGAATTAATTTCTCAGTATGATATGTTACTATCAATTTATGTGTTATTTGTAACAATAATACATTTCTTAAAAATCAGATACTGAGGCCTCTTTAGATTGATAATACAACTTAACTTTTTTTTTTAAAGGGAACGCCACAAAAGGATGTTGTTATAAAACCTGATGCACCAAGCACATTGTTTTTGGAGAAACATGCAGATTACATAGCTTCTTATGGTGCAAAGAAAGACGATTATGTAGGTATTTGCTTATTTCACTATTGATAATACTCTGACAACAGTGATATATCTTGCCATTTCCTGCACTGGTAGGAGTAGGTTGGCAGGTGATGAGTTAGAAAGTTGCATATCTTTTTTTGTCTCTGAATGCAAAGGGAAGGGTTAAAAGAAAAGACTGATGTTCTGACAGGTGGAGATGGTGGTTTTCCTTGGTCAATGATGAGACTTGGCATGTATTATCTGACTCTAAAGTTGAAGATCACTGCTTTAGCTCTAGAATTACTCTGAGACCTAGGAAATGTGATTTTTTTTTTTTTTTTTTTTTTTTGCTTATTAGGATGAATTTGTGCTATTGTGATACAACATCTTCACAAATATCACGTATGTCCCATAGTTGCATTTCTACCTGATATAATGAGCCTCAGCATCACTGGATTTAATCTGGATTCTACTAGAAAATGTGTTATTTTGAGACTTCTATATTATTTTAGGTGTAGCCCTAAATTCATTGTATTACAGTAATCTAGTCTGAGGGTGAAAGGGATACAGATAATTGCAGAGGTGTTCATCTGAGAGGCAAAACTGCAGCTAGCCTTGCCAGACATAGACAAAAGGAAGCACTCTTGGCTGCTGCTGCTGTTTGTATATTCAAAAGCATCTGAAATTCCCACAGGACCCTTATGTTGGAATTCAGGTAACACAAGGCAGGTGCACCTCTCTCTTTCATATATTTTTCCTAGCCAACCAGACGTATACCTCTGTCTTGTTAATAGTGAACCTTAGCCAACCAACCCTATCTGGTTTTATGAAAGAGAGACATTTATATTGTTGGTTGGTCATTCATCCCTCCTATAGTATTTTGTAGGAGAAGATGACCACATCTGTTGCTGACATGGAACCTAGATCGCTGTTTTCTCACTGTCTCATGAGAGGCCAAACTACTTGTTTCTATTTGAGTGGATCATCCAGCAAGATCCCCAGTTAAGGAGTTACGTTCTGGTCCCAGTGAAATCACTGGGAGCTTTAGCATTAGGGCCAAACTTTCACTCTACATTTCCAAATATAATTCCATGTAACTATCTTAAAAAAAAAAAAAAAAAAGAAAGAGACAGGTTTAAAAATATAGCTATACAAATATTGTGGAAAGCATCACTAGCCTGGTGCTGAATTAACACAATAATGAAATAGAATTCTTCCACATGGGGACAGATAATATCTCTAACTCTGCCATTTGAGTATCTTCCACATGAGTACCAATAGAGTTGGCCAAACCTGAGGATTTCCAGTGACTGGAAGTTTTAATGTTTTGAAATTTCAGGTGAGCCAGAAATTCTGAAAAATCTTTTGGAAAATCTTTCATTTCCAAAATGAAATATGCTCCCTGGACCCCAGCAGCTGCTGACTTAAATTAATGTGATTCTTGTCAGTTTCACAGGGATTGGGGATCCCAGTTTCCTAGACTCCTGAGACAGTTGACTCCATGGCAGGGGGGTCTGGAAACCCTGGGAGTCTGGGCTCAAGCTAGGGCTCTTGGGGCTTCTAAGCCTCCTTTTGTAGACCTGGGGAGCCTAGACCCGGAGGATATGTCTACACTATAGAAAAACAAATCTGTGGCAGCGAATCTCAGAGCCTGGGTCTACAAGCTCAGGCTTGCCTACAGTGCTAAAATAGTGCATGTTCCCTCTTGGGCTTTGAGACCCACCCCCATCTCCGGGTTTCACAGCCTGAGTGGGCATGTCTACACAGAAGTTTTTAGCACCATAACGCAAGCTTGAGTCTGCAGGCCTGGGCTGTGAGACATATAGCTAGTGCTCTACCAATTTCATGGCTGTGAAAAATGGGTCATGGTAAAATCTGATCTCCCCTGCTGCTGAGAGCCTGGGGCTGCTAGTCCATCCGGGCTGGGGAGGGACAGGAGTTTTCCTTTTGCTGCAGGGCCACTCTTGGTGGGGAGATCAGATCCACCTCCAGGGGCAGTGCAGAAATGAGGGTGGTATACCCTCACTTCTTTGCTGCAGAAGCCCAGGAACTGGGCTCCGGACTCTCTTCCCCCCCCTTCCCAGCCGCAGCTCTGGGTCCAGGCACCGAGCTCGGGGCTTCCTCCCGCAGTGTCTCCTGCCGGGCTGGGGGCTTTTGCTCCTGGTGGCTGCAGCTGGGGCAGCCTCGGCTTCTGGGCTTGCCCCAGCGCATGGCTCCTGCTCCAGCGCCGAGCCCAGGGCTTCCTCCTCTGGGGGCTTCTGCTCCTGACGGCTGCAGCCAGGGCGGATGCGGGAGGGTGGGACAGACTGCCTGGACTCGGGGCTTCTGCCCCGTGCCACTCCAGCCAGGGGTCGGGGATCCCGTGACACATGCGCGCACACACCCCTCGTGGCTTCTGCAATGAGCTCGGGACTTCCTCTCCCGGGGCTATGGGCTTACATTCCTGCCACCTTGGCCTGTGGGCAGCTCAGGCTTAGGGCTTCCCCCCTACTGCTGCTCCAGTGGGCCTGGGGGCATCTCAGGATCAGGGCTTCTTCCCCTGCAGCTCCTGCCAGGGCTCAGGGTGACCTTGTAGGGGCTTCTGACCTGGGGCTTTTTCTGGGGCTGGGACATGTGTTTTTCCTGGGTGGGTCCCCAAATTGGCCAGGCCCCTGTCTTAATCTGTCCGTGGTGTGGACTAGCAGCTAGGAACCCCCGGCTGGGGCGTTCCCAGCAACATGGGGGGAGATCCTACCCACCTCCACCTCTGCGAACTTCCTCTAACTGCAGGAAGTTGGAAGCTCATGAACTTCAGAGCTCAGAAGTGAGGGTGGCAATCTTGGGACCCCACTACAACAACTTTGCAACCCCCCCATCCCATTTTGGGTCAGGACCCCCACAGTTACAACACCCTGAAATTTCAGATATAATCATCTAAAATCATTAAATTGACCAATTTTAAAACCCTCTGGCCAGGAAATTGACGAGAATGGACTATGAATTTGGTAGGGCCTTACTTATAGCTATAGATTAGTTTGTTTGTTTGTTTGCAGGGTAGATATACTCTGAGAGGCCAGGCTACAGTGGGTTTTCCATGTTTCCACAGCAGGGAGCCTGAAAGCCCTGAGAACCCTGGTTCCCTGCTGCAGATACAGGAGTTGAGCCCTTGTGACAGACGGAGCTTTCTGGGTCCTGACTCCATGGCAAGGAGCCTGGAAGCCTTGCATAATAAGACTGCCCTTGAGCTGTGAACCAGGTTCCCAGCGCTCAAGTAGTCCACATGTCTTACCTATCCCAGATCCTTAGACCCTGGAAGCCTAGGCTCCACAGCAGTCCACCTGGAATTCTGATATAAGTTTGTCAAAGGAGATCGTTGCTTTGAAACATATCTGGTTCAAATAATCAGCTTTTTTGACAGAACTGTTTTGGTAGAAAATTCCTGATCGGCACAAATTATTGAACCTCATGTTTCCCCATTTCAGTCTGGCTTGATTTTTAGTGTTCCCCTTTCAAGTCCACCAATGGTCTGGCCTTAGCCTTTGTGCCAGAAATACCAAAACATGAGGAATTTCTCTTGGGAATGAGAAAAGGAGTACTTGTGGCACCTTAGAGACTAACAAATTTATTTGAGCATAAGCTTTTGTTAGTCTCTAAAGTGCCACAAGTACTCCTTTTCTTTTTGCAAATACAGACTAAACCGGCTGCTACTCTGAAACCTGTCTTGAGAATGAGTACTTACAAATCCTTTCAAATACAGATAGCCTTTAAAAATCCTCAATATGCTGGAGGCATAACTTGACATGTTATAGGGTCAGTTCTGGGAGCAGCGTTTTAATAAAAAATGACACATCGTTAGTTTAGCCATGTGATGTGTATTACAATATTGGGCAGGTTTATGACTTCAGCTGGACATAGAATGTATAATTCTTTATTAAATTAATCTCTTATATTCTGCTCATAGTAGTACTGTTCAGCTACGTTTTAATAGAATTACAAACTAAGCGAATTGGACATTCTAGTCAGTTAGTACCTTTTTCCAGAGTAGTCTGTAGCAGTCGTGCTTGGGGGTTTTTAAACCAATTATGAATATCTGTATATATTTTATATTCATAAGGCTACACAGAGAAAACATACAGAAAAATAAAATTAGATGTTTAAATACGACAGGTCTCCCAACAAGATGGCCTCAATTACGTTTTAAAGTGTGGTGCCTCTGACTGAAACCTTCCTTCTCTTATGCCATGTGTATGGTCTCGCTCTCCTGCTCACCTGTAGCAAGAAAATACATAAATTACTATGGAATATTACAATACAGTATGAAAAATCATAGGTAATGCTGATCAAGAAAGATTTATAACAATATATTAAGCTACAATAAATTAGGTTTTTTTTCTTCCTGTTACTGCTCTAAATTGCTTTGCTTCAATTTTGGCAAATAGCAATTAGGTAATTAACTGAATGTTAGGCTGTTATTTTGAGGGGACCATTTAAGCAAAGGACTTGAGCAAAGGACCAGAGCCAAGAAGATTGTAACTTACGATCTGGTCTGAGCTACTGTCCTGCTGCATAAATATGGGCAAGTAACTTGACCTTATGCCTCAGCCATCTAAGATGGAAAAATTAAGTAAAAGGCAGAAATTCACTGAATCAGTTGCAGCATCTTAGCCATCTTAGAAAGCTTGTCTTTCATAAGTAAACAACTTAAAATAAAGTACAACTTGGCTTGTTGGTTGGATGGGGAGGATTTGGTAATGGCTAGATCTCTAGTTCAGAGAACTTAGTCTAACTTACAAAATTGCAGCATTATACAAAAAAATACAATCTCCACTTGTTTACAGAGCCCTGCAAAACCACAGATACCCGCTTTCTATATATATATAGGATATATGCATCTGCGGATGCAGTTGTATTGTTTACCATCTTTGCAGATCGGATGCGGATCCAAATTTTTGTATCCGAGCAGGGCTCTGCTTGTTTATATGTCTTTGTCTGCTTAAGAACTAAAATTCTGTGCTACTTAGGAGTACTGTATGTCGGAATATTTGAGGATGAGCGGTGTCTACTGGGGACTGACAGTAATGGATCTCATGGGACAGCTGCAACGAATGACCAAAGAAGAAATTCTAGCCTTCATCAAATCATGTCAACATGAGTGCGGTGGAATAAGTGCCAGTATAGGTCACGATCCTCACCTTTTATATACCCTAAGTGCTGTCCAGGTAAATATATAGAAAAGAAAATATTGGAAGTAAGTGAAAACTGCTTGATTTAATAAATTAATTTGACTGTTCTAGGTACCACCAAGGTATTTCATTTTTCTGCTGTCACATTGAAATGCTTTATCTGAGCCGGATTTGTTCATTAGAAAAATTGTTCAACTTATAGATTTATAGACAAGCTGGGACCACATGTATCTAAATGGCATTTTAAAAACTCTTGTATCATAAATCATTTTCTAGGGAAGAAGTGTTGTGGGTTGTAATCCTTGAATAGGATGAAATAGAGTAGATGTGTCTGGTACTGAGAGATGGGGCCCAGGAGTATCGCAGGTCAGTGATGAGTCTTGGCATGTATTACCTGAATCTAAAGTTGATGATTATCACACTTTAGCTCTAGAATTACTCTGAGACCTGAGGAAATTGCTGTGCCCACTCTTTTTTTAGGTTGAGTGAGTCCCAGCTATTGTGGGTATAGAGCCACACTTCTGCTCGTCATAAATTATTCTCAGTGTCTTAATCAGTTACCACACATTCTGGACCAAGTTTGGGTCTATCCACGCTGGCCAGCCAAAAGATATGTACATAGGGTTCCCAGCCCAGTATAGAGAGGGAATAAGTCTTGAGGTCCTTCTGATTTTCTTAAACTCCTTATGCTTAATATTGATGTTACTATAAGGTAATAAAACCACAATAGATTGCAGCCTAAATATAAAAATCTAAACTGAAAATTTAAGTTACAAATTTAAAATAAAGTCAGGAAATGCGAATCTAAGGTTCTTTTAGCAATGCTAAACTAACCCACCTTGCACATACTGTATTCATTTATATTATACATTAAGAATTCTAAACTGCTAATCCAAAATAATAAGTGCAAGTTGCCACAAGAATCTTAATTTCTGCTTTTCCTGTCCTGCAACTTTATTAGAACACAATATGGCAATGTTAATATGTTTGTTTTTCAATTTAAAAAAGCATATTGCAACACTGGAGTATTATGCAACACTCTGTAAACTGCAAAATATAGATTACTCCAAACACTGTGGCTGGAATTAGGGAATTGCTCAATTTGTTTTCTGCAACTCCATAGGACTTAAATTGCAATCAGCAGATAAAGAGAACTTAGACCTGGGTGAAATTTTTCAAAATTTTGTTGAAATTCTCCTCTCCACCATCCCCTTATAATTCACTCCATAGAGGTTTTTCCAAGAGCTTTTTTGAGCAGAGTCAACTGAATTACTTCCTATAATATGATTTAACTAAATTGTTCATAACTTAAAATTCTTCTCACTATTACCAGGCATGTGCTGCTTATTGAGGACTAGTCTATACTTTTAAACTCAAATTGTGATTTTTTTTAATCTGTATTTGTAAAAATGCACCTATCCAAAAGCTTTCTGCACCTTTCCATTACTTAGGTATACATACTACTACAAGCCCAAAACATCCTTATCTCCTAACAAAATTCAACCATAATCAGACTGTAATAAATCAATACCATGTTCCATGATGCTAGCCTAACTTAAATGACTGTTTTAAAACTTTAAAGTGGAGAAAGAGATTGTGTTGAGACCATGCATGGAAATCTTCATCTTAATTTGGGAATTTTAAAATTTTATGGAATCAAGCTTGTAATGTTGGGTAGGTTGTAGTTAGCTGAAGCTTTCATGGTAGTGAAAAGTTTTAGTGATTTATGTTCATCGATAAAATTAAATTCTGTGTTTTGTTTTAAGAAAACTAGGGCTCTGGTTCTCTGGTAAATTCTAGGAAACTTTATCCTTCTAGTAATTGATTTGAGTTATTTTTGTTTTGCAGATTCTTACCTTATATGATAGTCTCCATGTTGTTGATGTAAATAAAATTGTTGACTATGTAAAGAGCCTGCAAAAAGAAGATGGATCGTTTGCTGGAGACAAATGGGGTAACTTACGTCTTCAAAATCTCATTGAAGAGTTACATATTTCATATAATGAAGCAGTTAAGATTAAGTTGCCCTGCATGTTTTTTCACTGTGTATTGTGCATGAACTGCATTTATTTCCCTCCGTGTGTAAAAAGGAGCCAGTCACATGTCATTGCTTTTCTAGATGACCCTAAACTTATAGAAAAATGGAATTAAATAACAAAAACTGAACAGCCTTCATAGAAGTTTCTGAAAGCTCAAAACTTGTTAGAGCTTGTGATGGAGGGTGCCTTCTCATTTCAGTGTAATTTGTATCCGATATTAATCTTTGAGTTTACTATCTAGTGATTCTAAGTTGTGGTATGTCTGTTGCTTGTAAAAGGAACTATCTCTGCATAGCAATGACACAAATCTGCGTCTGCAGTCACAGCTTCTAAAAATATTGATCTGCTTTGATTTTGATTTTTTAAACGGTATGTTTGTTCACTTTTTCTTCTGTTGACATTTTAAAATATTTATTTTATATAAAATATATTTTAATATTTCAATGTTGTATCCTGTTGAATATCAGTTACAACAAAACCATTGTTTCATTTTTCAGTTAATAAAATGAAACGATCAAGGTATTTCAACATATGTAAATCCATAAGCATCAGTTTGTGGTTGACAAGCTATGTGTTGGTATTAAAATGGTGCTGAATATGTATGACCAACTTTTACATTGAACCAGTTTGTCATAATATAGTAATAAAATACACAGGCAAGGATATGACAATTTATATTCTTGTTAGTATTTATCAGATTGGATTACTGAAATGCATTCTAAATGAGGCTACCGTTGAGGAAAATTCAGGAGCTAATGCTAATACAGAATGTGGTTACCTGCTTGATTGGTGATAGGAGCTACAAGGAGGATATTATACCAGTTCTGAAAAACTGCACTCATTCTCTATTTGTATCTGGGGTACAATTTAAAGTGTTGATTTGAGTTCTAATTACTGAGGTCTAATCTACGCTGGGAAAAGGATTACTGATACAGCAACCCCTCCTAATGTATGCACAGCTTTTGCTGGTATAATGGTTGGTTCCCTTAGCAAAATAACACACACCTTTTTTTAAACAATATAACTCAGGAGCGAGCAAACTATGGCCCGGGGGGCCACATCCGGCCCTTCAGACGTTTTAATCCAGCCCTTGAACTCCTGCTGGGGAGCGGGGTCTGGGGCTTGCCCCACTCTGCACGGCTCCTGGAAACGGCAGCATGTCCCCCCTCCAGCTCTTGTAGGGGCAGGCAGAGAGCTCCACATGCTGCCGCCTGCCCCAAGCGCCACCCCTGCAGCTGCCATTGGCCAGGAACAGTGGCCAGTGGGTGCTGCAGAGGCGGTGCCTGCAGATGGGGCAGAGTGCGGCGCTGTCTGGCCGCACCACTGCGTAGGAGCCGGAAGGGGGGACGTGCCGCTGCTTCCGGGAGCTGCTTGAGGTAAGTGCCAACCGGAGTCTGCACCTTGACCCTCGCCTGCAGCCTAACCCTCTGCCCTAGTCCTGATTCCCCTTCTGCCCTCTGAGCCCCTCGGTCCCAGCCCAGAGCACCCTTCTGCACTCCGAACCCCTCATCCCCAGCCCATTGCCCGCATCCCCAGCTGAAGCCCTCACCCCCCCACCCCAACCTTCTGCTCCAGTCGGAAGACCCCTCCCACACTCTGAACTACTCATTTCTGGCCCCACCCCAGAGCCCTCACCCGCTCCTGGACCCCAACCCCCAATTTCATGAGCATTCATGGCCCGCCATACAATTTCCATACCCAGATGTGGCTCTTGGGCCGAAAAGTTTGCCCATTGCTGATATAAATATTTACACTAGGGCTTTTTTGCCACTATAGAAATGTCATAAAAATCATTCCTCTAACTGATGAAACTGTACTTGCAAGTTTCTAGTGTAGACCTTGCCTAAGAGACCTTTCTTGATCTGTCTCTTCACACCAGCTGAGGACCTTGAGCATTGTGGAGCCTGGTATTGGTGTATTCTTGAGGGTACACTGCTCTTTAACTTGCTTTGTCCAAAGTTCTGAGTCTTTGTGGCGTTCAGATTATGATGTTGAAGAGCTGAGAGTGGGTAATGTGGGTAATTTACTGGTGAATGAGTCTCTGTGTTGACATGGTTTAACCAGTTCTCTTTCCATTCAGTGCACAGACTGTGCAGTGGGTGCTTTTTAGAAACTGAAAAATAAATAGCATATTTACAAATTACTTTTAACTGAGGTAAACCTGGATATTTATCTGGCAACCACAAAGTGATCAAAGGATTATTAATTCATGGTTACATACCGATCACTTTATATTTGTTTAGTGTTATCCTATTGGGAAATAATGTGAATGTATTGGCTGGTGGAGGAAAATATTGGTGTAAAGTATTGGAGTGTTTTCTATTTAATCAGGGAAACACCCATGTTTAGTGACTTACTGTACGCTTTTTAATAGCATGCATTCTCTGTGTGCCTGTAAAAATATATATATATAGTTCTCTGTAGTTATACTATTTTTTTCTCCCCCTTTGTAGGAGAAATAGATACAAGGTTCTCTTTCTGTGCTGCAGCAACACTAGCTCTTTTGGTAAGTTCTGCAATAGGGTGGCTATTAGATACAAATATGTAACAGTTTTCTGTGGATGGCAGACAAATGATGCTACAGTAGGTGTACTTAATTTACTTGGTGGTAGTATAAAATGTTAAAAGGACTTTTCTGACTTGCAGGGGAAGCTTGATGTTGTTGATGTGGAAAAAGCAGTCGAATTTGTTTTGTCCTGTATGAACTTTGATGGAGGATTTGGTTGCAGACCAGGTTCTGAATCACATGCAGGGCAGGTAAGTGTTGTTGCTTTCACACTGAAATATTTTAAATTAGCAAGAAATTCTTAAGTATCAAATATTTACTTTTTATCATTGTTTTTAAAACCTGTCGGCAATGCAGACTGAAGCATTTTTCAGTTCCTAAATGTGTGTAAAGAACTATTCCATTAAATGACACAAGTACAGAATTCATCTGTTAAGAGGCCTAGAAGCTGAATTTTGTCTGTAAAAATCCATATCAGAACCACAATTTTGTATAGTGGTGTGAATTTTTGTTTCAAACTTCACAGGGATGAGTTAAAAATGTAATTAAAAAAGTTCCAAAAGAAAGACCAGTATGCAGCGGTTCAAAAAGGAGTTAACATTCAGATTTGTTAGGGAGGAAATATCTCAAATGTTCTAATATGATTAGAGCACAATTTTGAAATCATCTACTTTTTCTCTGTTAGAATAAGCATATCAGAACTTTTGTAATTTACTGGCTTGCATATTGTTCAAATGTCTTACCTTCTGGTAGCAAAAATACTTGTTTGGCCTAATTATAGTTCAGGTGGAATTTAGAATAAAAGGTAAGAGTGGAATCTACGGTAAAGTCTGATATGTTGCAGAGGTAACTTGGTTAACTTCTTGATGGTGCTGGTGGAATTTCTTTTAAGGTGACAGGCTAGCTGGAGGTAAGGTGAAGGGGTACAACTAGAGCTCATTAAGAATTAAGATATCATTAAGAATGGATAAATGCCAAGGAAGATGACCTGTATGACTTCCTCTAGAAACTTTACATGTAACTTAACTTTGGATTAAGTTGATACCAACACTTACTCCGAACCTCCAGTTGATAGAAGTTAACTTTAACACATTTTAGTACTATTTCAGTATAGATTTAATCACAATAATCAGCTGTTCATTTTCCATAATTGTTCTGAGCATCATAATCTGGAAGGATTTATTTGTTTAAATGAAAATATAAAAACTACTCAATATAGAGAAACTTATTTATGAAACATGCAACTGAACGTTATACAGTCCGCCTCAAAATAGGTTTTTTTTATTCTGAGTCTCCTGTAAGGTCCTGCATACATTAAGAAAATACCTTAATGTTCAGTCTGATCTTTCAGGACTCTACAAATTACATTTTGCTTTTAATGACAACTAGAGTACATTAGTAAAAATGTTATCTTCTGATAAGATTTAAAAAATCATAACAGTGGAGTAGTATGTTCACTTTGTAAACTGAACACTTAATTTTCTAACTTGCTTATTTTAACTATTAGCATGATGTGAAATAATGGAATCCTGCTTTGTGATCTTCCTACATTTAGTCTTATTACATGCTACTTTTAGTTCTTAAATACACATGAACTTTATGTCTGTAATTTTAGATCTATTGTTGCACAGGATTTCTGGCTATAACAGGCCAGTTGCACCAAATAAATGCTGACTTGCTGGGCTGGTGGCTTTGTGAACGTCAGTTACCCTCTGGAGGTCTCAATGGAAGGCCAGAGAAGGTATTTGGTTCGCTTTTTTTAAAAAAATAAAACTCTTAGTGTAGAAGCAGAAATATTTTTCTAATTCCTGGAAAATATCATGGACTTCCTCTCAAATGCTGTTGCAAAACTTTTCAAATGTTTTTACTCTTAATCTTGATTCCTTTGCTGTATCATCCAGTATAGGCCCCTGTTTAAGAAGATGCAATGTTCTCAGCATAGTTTAAGGCCTCAAAATATCTTGCTGAATCAGGGCCTGGATATATTGTGATGTTTTAGGAATGCTGTGTACTACGGTATTTATAAATGTTCATTCGTAAAGTAATGAGAAAAATACTTTGTTGGATTTATAATTTTTTGTGGGACTCTATTGTATGTGTCCAACAATTGAATAATGTAATCCGGAATGACTGACTTGCAAGTGGAGACTTCTTAGCACTAGTTTTCTTAATGGATGCAGCAGACAAATGCTTTCAAACTTAAGATTTTTTTTTTGTTGTTGTTTAAATTATTAGTTGATACTGTCCTCAAAGTCTCTTGTCCCTCTTCCTCGTTTACATGGTATTTTCATGGCTGTCTTCTTCAGAGCCAAAATGCTGCCAAAGAGACTCTCAAGGTTTCAAAAGCAGCAGAACACTTGTGATTCTGCTGCTGGGGGACAGGAGGAGGAGGAAGGGCCATCTGTGAATAAGCTGGGTGTTGGAACTCTGTTCTCTGCCCAAGAAACAATGCTCCAGAGTTGTACTCCACTCAGTGATGTTTTGATGATGTGGCTAGTGGTTTCACGAAACCTAGTGTTACTACTGCAACGCATGTATTTAAAAAAAGTAATACTCGTATATTTATTTGCCAGTTACCAGATGTATGTTATTCATGGTGGGTGTTAGCATCCCTGAAGATAATTGGTAGACTACATTGGATTGACAGAGAGAAATTGCGCTGCTTTATCTTGGCTTGCCAGGATGAGGAGACTGGAGGATTTGCAGACAGACCAGGAGATATGGCAAGTTCATTTAAATGTACATTTTAGGTTGAAATTCAAGGTTTACAGGTTTGCAAAAGGCTTTATGTTCTATATAATAAAAAATTAAACCAATGCAGGTAGTACATGAGTATGAACAGGGTAATGCTACTTAGCATATCTGTTTCCTTGAGGGAGCATGTGACAGTCTTTGATATCTGCAGATTATCCCATGCTGAGAATTCAGGAGCCTTTTCCTGTTTAAAGCCCCAGCAGACGGCTGAAAAAACATTTTTTTAAAAAGCAACAGGCTAATAAGATTGTAGACTCTGTTGCAGTTGTGACTGTGTACATTTTAAAATGCTACAGTAAAAAGAGAAGTAAAAACTAAAGTTGTTTAAATAGACTTGTCCAGTTACATTTGATTATTTTTTTTTTTTTCTTTTCAGTTAAGTGGTGTTGGAAAACATTAAGAATATATGCTCTGGATATTTATAGCTTAGAACAGGGGTTCTCAAACTTCACCACAGCCCCCTACTGACAACAGATTACTACATGACCCCAGGAGGGGGAACTGAAGCCTGAGCCCGCCAAGACCTGCCACCCCAGCAGGGGGCCTGTAACCTGAGCCCGACCAATGAGGGATGAAGTTGAAGCCTGAGTCACCATGGCTGAAGCCTTTGGGCTTTGGCCCCAGGCGGTGGGGCTTGGGCTTCAGGCCCCAGCAAGTCTAACACCAGTCCTGGCAAACCCTTTAAAATGGGGTCTTGACCCACTTTGGGGTCCTGACCCACTGCTGGCTTAGAATTTAGCAAAGACAAATGTGTTAATTTAAACAAAAAACATTGGGTAAACTAAAGATGAAAGTGAGCTACATGAAAATGGAAGGTGAAAATAATATTTAAGATTTCCCATTAAAAATTGTGGCAGTATATTTAAGGTCAAATTACAATCTGGTCATCAGTAAAACACAGTGTTGTGGCAGTTATTGTGAGAATTGAAATATTTGCTGCTACTAAAGCTAAATTTTCTGTTCAACTTGTATTTACCTGAGAGACTGAATACCTTTCCCAGACTTGAGGAAGAGCTCTGTAGTTAGAAACCGTGTGTCTCTCTCACCAGAAGTTTGTCCAATGAAAGATTTTACCTCATGTACTTTGTCTCTCTAATACCCACAATCGTGAGTTTAGTTAGTTTCTCCCTCCCTTATTTACTATAAATATATTCACAATAGTTACTTGTTCAGGCTTGGCTTGTCGTAACTTGGGCCTGCCCATGTCTGCTAAGTTAGCCCAACACTTGTAGCAGGAAGCTTTTTTTAATGTCTCTAAGGAGAATTAGAAAGTAACATTAACTTTGGGGCCATACAGGGGCCTGCCCAGTCTCCTGTGTAAATTTAGAGCAGCCTCAGAGCTCCTTTAGCTTACATTTGGCTTTTAATGGCCTATCTATGGGCCTTAGGAAGCAGAGAATAGCCAGTGCTATGCATTCTGGCCATGCCCATGATCTGCCTGCTATGCCAACTCTTTGAGGAAGGGACAGTCTTTTAATTGTGTTTTGTTCAGTGCTTAGTATGTTAGGGCCCTGGTACGAGGCTGAGGCTCTTAGGCGATATCAGAATACTAAGATGTGGGAGGCTGGTAGCTGGGTCAGTGTAGAGCCCTTAAGCCAGCTGTAAACTGGCCAGTGAGGCCTTCTGTACAGATGGTATATTCAGGGGGCTGTTTCCACCTAGTTTATTGCTTATTTACACAGCAGAGCAATGTAAGGAACTTTAGTAAGCTGTGAACTAAGTCCTAAGGGTTTCTTTAGTGCAGTTAGCTCAGGCTCTTACTTGGGTATTGTCCACACACACAATCCTGTCATCTGAGCTAAGTGGTGCTCTCAGTTTGGTGCTAGCCAGCACAGTTGTGGGGTATGGGTTATAGCCCTGGTTTCTATTTTCACTAGTGCTGGCAATGCCCACTTTGCAATGAAGATGCAGGCTAAATCACTGAAGGCATACCCTCAGCCTAAGGGTTTAAGTAAGTAGCCTTCTATGTTGTCTGTGTAGGGATATGCAAACTGCATAGCAGTCTTCTGGAAAATCTGTTTCTAATCTCATGAAGGAATCGCTAAATCTCGGAGAATTACCTCCTACCTATATTTTATTTTTCTTCTATGCCCCATTTTTCTTTTCCTGTTTTCCCTCCAGTTGTGTATGCAGGTCCCTCTGGCTCCCTCTAAGACAGAGACACTCAAACTCTTTTTTACTGGTGACCCCTTTCACATAGCAAGCCTCTGAGTGCACCTCCCCCTCCCCCCCCCCCATATAAATTAAAATCACTTTTGATGTATTTAACACCATTATAAATGCTGAAGGCAAAGCAGGGTTTGAGGTGGAGGTTGACCACTCGTGACACCCCCCCATGTAATAATCTCATGACCCCCTGAAGGGTCCCAACCCCCAGTTTGAGAACCCCTACTATAAGACCTGTCAGCACAACTCTATGTTCAGAGAGACTGCCAAACACCAATAAAATGTTCAGTGAAAAATGTGGAGTTTATGGCAGATCGGGTTTTAGATCACCAGGTTAGCCTATAACTTTTACATTATATATAGTAGAATCATGAGGTGCTGGATTTACCATGTTGTAACAATACAATAGAGGAATTGGTGGAAAGAGCTGTCAGACTTTTTCCATTATCTTTATGCATACTGTTGAGTTCAGGTTTAAAAAATTTTCTGGTGGCAACAAACATCATCAATTCAAACATCTCAAAGTTGTATCCTAAATGTATACAGTTTGAAGCTGGCTATTGATTTCTTTTAATGTGTGTGAATATTTCTGTTATTTTTAAAGTAATTGCATACTAAAAACCAGGAAGTTGTGCATTTGCATTGTTCTCTGAAATTAAATCTTCAACCACCATTGAGCTTTCTCAGTCTTTTCTAGCAACTCAGTTGTCTTATTCTCTCACTGTAAACTCATCCAAAGGGTTTTAGTTGTCAGTGTGTTATAAATTAGTTAATTTTTTTCCAGGTGGATCCTTTTCACACCTTATTTGGAATTGCTGGACTATCATTGTTAGGAGACGAACAAATTAAGCCTGTCAGTCCTGTTTTTTGTATGCCTGAAGACATCCTTCAAAGAATAAATGTACAGCCTGAACTTGTGAGCTAGACCTTACAGAAGCAAAAGGTTGCAATGCTCAGCTGCTTTGATTTTGTTGGTTGAAACTCATCTCAAACATACTTGCATATATTTTTTCATTTTAATGTGTTTACATCAGTACAGTAAGAAATTATCACTATACAGTAAACCTTGTCACTTTGTCTGTGGATTGTGTCAAAATGGCTTGTTTAAATAAATTATGTGGATGTTACATGTATTGCAGGTCTGTAACAGATGAAAAGAAACATTTTTATCTGCATCTATATATGTGGACCTGTGAGCTCTGTACACTAACTTAGAACAACAGTGTATTAGTACCACTAGTAGAGTACTTGAATGACTTAATTTTTTTGCATTTCCTACAACATCAATCATAAAACATTTTTCTTGATAATATAAGCATGTATTGACAGTGAATTGCCCTGAGCACTGTATTTAAGAGAAGCAGAGAAAAGATACTTACAGTTAGAACACTTTGATGTTAGTGGACACTTGTGCATTTAAAACATCCTGTTTAGGATATACTACCATTTTTATCCACTGAAACACAAGTTTTCTTCTCCTAGCAATTAAGTGTAAAGGTTTTTGTTCTCAGCAAATACAGTTGTTACCTACCAGTAAAGTCCTTTATTAAAGAAAATATTTTTACTACTGGAAATCCAATATAATTGGTGTTTGAGTGTAGATTGAGACTTGCTGGTAATAAGCATTCTACAGATTGCCACTCTACAGTCTTATGATTTGCCAAATGTGCTGCTAATTGAAAATTTGTCATTGGTTTGAACTACTACTTCATTAGCACTTGAGAAAATAGTTGCGAAAGAAATATCAAGAATAAAAGTAGCTATGAAAAATATTTTCTGAAGGATGAAATCGTTTTTGTCTTCATTGGAGCGCTTAAAGTGCCTCCATTTTACATCCCATAGCATTGTGTGTTTGCATCTGGTCACCATGTTCTGACTGAGAAAGACTAAATGAAATTCCAGTTGGACCATATTAAAGGTAATTGTGAAGGAAAAAATAGCCTTTAACAGTCCCCAGCTTATTTATAGTTACAGATGTCCTAAAAGATTTTTCAAAATAGTTCTCCATTTTTTTAATAGAATGGTCAATGCAGAGCACTAGTCCTTATTTCAATTGGCCTGTTTTAAGGTTATTTTTCTTTAAAAGCCTTTTTGCCAGTCAGACTGTTTTTCTAAATTAACTGGTGGTTCTGTTAAAGAAGACCACTGATAAGAAAAGGTGTACAAAGCAAACTAGTGTTCTAATTAGTCACTGCTTAAATATATTCTAGTCTTCCGCTTTAATTACTATATTATATAGATTTTTTTTTTTGAAAGATTCTGGTACTGTATATTGTAGTCAATCCAGCAATAGCTATCACTACACATACGAATTTATCTATAAATTATATCTTGTTCAATCTTCCATCAATAAAGCATCCAATGAAGAAAATTAGTTGTCCTTTATAACATGTGGAAGTTAAAGCATTTAGTCTCAGCATTGGTATTACTAACTACCTCATTTTATCATGTTTAAATGTTAAGATTTTCAGCTCCCTGTGTGGAATTACAGTAAGATATTAGTACTGTCTTTGACAGCTTGACTTTGCATGTAGAGATCCTTTATTAAATGTTTTCACACACTTGTTTCTATAATTATTGATATTTTTACACAACTTCATAGTGAAGTATCCTTCAATGTATATATTGAAAAAACAATCATTCATTGCAGCATAGCTACTAATGTCCTGGAACTGCAGTAATAATATTGTGGTAAGAAGGAAGATCCTCTCATGGATCAATAACTAGTCAACACGGGAAACCAAGGGTAGGACTAAATGGTCATTTTCAAAATCTAGAAAGGCAAATAGTGGTATCCTCCAGGGATCTATACTGGGACCAGTGGTGATCAACATATCGATTAATGATATAGGAAAGGGTAAACTGTGAGGTGGCAAAATTTGCAGACAATACAAAATTGCTCAAGATAGTGAAGTCCAAAGCTGACAATGAAGAGTTAAAAGGAGATCTCACAAACCTAGGTGATGGAGCAAAAAAAAGCAGATGGAATTCAGTGTTGATAGGTGCTATACATACAAAATGACGGTGTCTAAATTATTTGTTCCTACTCAGGTTTCAGGGAAACAGCTGTGTTAGTCTGTATCCGCAAAAAGAACAGGAGTACTTGTGGCATCTTAGAGACTAACACATTTATTAGAGCATAAGCTTTCGTGAGCTACAGCTCACTTCATCGGATGCATAGAAGGGAACACACACGCAGACACAGAGATAAGTGGGAACTATACAAACTGTAAGACAAGGTGTGAGAATAGTGAATCTATTTCCCTAAATTAAGTATTCTCACACCTTCTTGTCAACTGTCTAAATAGGCCATCTTGATTATCACTGCAAAAGTTTTATTTCTCCTACTGAAAATAGTTCATCTTAACTAATTAGCCTCTTACAGTTTTATAGTAACTTCCCAGTTATCTCTGTGTGTGTGTGTGTTCCCTTCTATGCATCCGATGTAGTGAGCTGTAGTTCACGAAAGCTTATGCTCTAATAAATTTCAGAGTAGCAGCCATGTTAGTCTGTATTTGCAAAAAGAAAAGGAGTACTTGTGGCACCTTAGAGACTAACAAATTTATTTAAGCATAAGCTTTCGTGAGTCTCTAAGGTGCCACAAGTACTCCTGTTCTTGTTCCTACTCGAGATCTTGGAGTCATTGTGAATAGTTCTCTGAAAACATCTGCAGCAGCAGTCAAAAATGTTAGGCACCCTTAGGAAATGGATAAATAAGAGGGAAATATGACACTGTATCGGGGTGGGCAAACGTTTTGGCCCAAGGGCCACATCTGGGTTGTGCAACTGTATAGAGGGCTGGGTAGGGAAGGTTTGTGCCTGACTGCCCTGACCCTCTAACCACACCCCTGCCATCTGACAGTTCCCCTGGGACTCCCACTCCTGTCCAACCCCCTGACCACCTCCACCCCATCCAACCACCCCATGCTACTTGTCCCCTGACTGCCCCTCCAGACCCTCTGCCCCTTATCCAACCCCTCCCTGCCCCCTTACCAGCCACCAGAGCCAGTCATGCCACCACGCTGCCTGGCAGGAGCGGCGGGTCAGAGCACTGGTGGCATGGCACGATGAGGGTGTGGGTGTTGAGGGCTAGTCTCCCTGGTTGGGAGCTCAGGGGCCAGGCAGGATGGTCTTGCGGGCCGGATGTGGCCTGCGGGCTGTAGTTTGCCCACCTCTGCTCTATATAAATCCATGGTATGCCCACACCTTGAATATGGTGCAGTATTGGTTGCCTCATCTCAAAAAAGATGCATTAGAATTGGAAAAGGTACAGAGAAGGGCAACAAAAATGATTAAGGGTATGGAACAGCATTAAAAAGATGGGCTATTCATCTTGGAAAATATTACTGAGGGGGGATAAGATAGAGGTCTATAAAATCATGACTGGTGTGGAGAAAGTAAATAAGGAAGTGTTTATGATGCAAGAACTAAGAGTCACAAATGAAATTAATAGGCAGCAGGTTTAAAAACAAAAGGAAGAAAGAACTTCACACAATCAACCTGTGGAACTCATCATCCAGGGAAAGTATGATCAGATGCCCTGATATTAGGGGCTTTGCCTTATATAGGTAACCTATTACCCTCTGGACCAATTTTTCATACGTGCTATCTGGACATCCCTACCAGGGGATGTTCTGAAGGCTGAAACCATAATGGGGATCAAAAAATGGATAGATAAGTTCATGTTGGATAGGTCTATTGATGGATGGGGATGCAACCCTATGTTCTGGGTGTCCATAGTCTCTGACTGCCAAAAGCTGGGAGTGGATGATGGGATGGATGACTCCCTGTTCTGTTCATTCCCTCTGAAGCACCTGGCACTGGCCACTGTCAGAAGAAGAATACTGGGTCAGATAGACCATTGCTCTGACCCAGTATGTCCATTCTTATGTTAATACAGATATTCCACTCATATAGAATTGCAGTAGAAATATAGGCAGGCTGTAATTCCTTGTGTTTGAAATTCAGGTACTAGCAAAACATACCTACTTTTGGAGGCGGTGTAGAAGCACCATAATCTTGCATGGTCGCGATCAGGTCTGGAGGCAGTGCATCTTATTTCAAAGACATCAACAGTGTCTTACCCGAGTGCAGAGACACTGCTGTATTGATGGCTGAGAAGAGGCAAAATCAGGCATTCATTTGTTTCCATTTCTCATCCTGCAACAGTTGATGGTGTTTAGCAGTGAACTGTTTCTCCACTAAAAAGAAAAGGAGTACTTGTGGCACCTTAGCGACTAACAAATTTATTAGAGCATAAGCTTTCGTGAGCTACAGCTCACTTCATCGGATGCTACTCTGAAACCTGTTTTTCCACTGTATAATATTCGTTTACAAGCTTACAAATAGCATCCTTTCGAACTGACTTTCTTTCCCCAGTTGGCAGGCATTGATTCCCCTCCTTTGTATTTCTAACTGATATGATATTAGCATAGATTTCCTTGTTTGTGTATTAGGAGCATTCATGATGTCAGCACAGCTCTGAGAAGTGTTTTAAGTTATTTGTTGCTGTAAAGATAGTAGGGGGAGCTCACAACATTTTTAAAGTCATGTAAAAATAGTGGTTTTAATTCCTCAGAGAAGTAATGAACACTAGGTAATACATAATCAGAATTCAGAGAACCTTGCCCCTCAGATTACAATCTTTTTAAGGCTAGTTTTATCTTGATATTG